CAGAACACCCTAGCTCCCCCTACATAGTATACCATATCTTCTACCTTGTGGCTTCCTCTGCCTAGGTGTTTCCACCACTCCCCTCCCCATTTTTGGCTTTCTGACTTCCACCAAGCCTGGGTTTCATTTGTTCCCTGGATCATGTCCTCAACTGCTCTCTTTCCTCTTGTGAAAACAAACTCTTCCTCCTCCTGTCATTTTCTCCCCTTCCCTTTGATCTGGGCTTTAGAAATATCCACTGTGACTACCTTGGCACTGTTACTGACTGGACCTATCACAATCTGGTTTTGGTCCCCAGCTCTCTGTCTAAGTCCTTCATAGAATGACAGGGATACCCAGGATGAGATGTTTCTGGTTTTGAAGTTTAAAATTTATTTAAATTTAAATTTAATTTTAAATCATTTAAAATTCCACCTTGAGGCCCTCTCAGCCATGTGACCCTGTGATGTTAGTTTTGCTGTTGTTGGTTTGTTTATTTGTTTTTTGGTAGGTCTGACCTGTCATGCAGTCTAGTCTCAGTGTCAGTGCGACCTTTATGTCTTGTCAGTGACAAGGCCTTACCAGTCTACTAGCCAAGGGATGTTTCTGTTCCTTATACGCCATAGACCTATGCATGACAGATATTGATCTTACTAGGGATCTTTCCCTTACCCTATTTCCAGCTATCCAGTGGACATTTCTAGTCTAAAGTGCCAGAAAATCTCAAGACAACATAGTTAAGATGGATCTACCATAGCTTTTTTCTGTCATAGTCTCAATGTTTGTGTGCCTTAAACTTCACATTTTAAGAATAAGATTTAGCTTTATTTTTTAAGTGTGTGTGCAGTGTGTGTGTATGTGTGTGTGTGTGTGTGTGTGTGTGTGTGTGTGTGTGTGTGTGTGCTCGTGTATGAGACCAGGTATCTATGGAGTTCAGAAGAGGGTTCTGGATTCCCTAGAGCTGGCATTACAGGCAGTAGTAGGTCACCTGAAGTGGCTGCTGGGAACTGAACTCAGTTCTCTGCAAGAGCAGAATGCACTTTTAATCACCAATCCACCTCTCAGTCTCAGTTCACATGGTTTTAGGCGCTGTTTTTGTTTGGATTTTGTGTATCCCAGGCTAGCTTTGAGCTAGCTGAGGCTAATCTCGAACTTCTGATCCTTCCCCTCTTACACCTGCACCGCCACACACAGTTGATGTAGTGAATATCCCCAGCCTCCCCACCTAAGAGCCTACTCCATGGGGGCTGTATCAGGATACAGAATCCTTAATGAGGTCATTAAGGCTAATGAGGTTAGGTGGTGGGCCCTGATTTCATCAGATTAGTGTTCTTATAAAAAGAACTTATATTATCTCGCTACCCTGTGAAGGCAATGCAAACAAGGAAATGGTTCTCACTAGCAGCCCCCAAGGCAATGCCTCAAATTTAATTTCAGGCTCCAACACCATTGCATAGAGAATGGTTTTAGTCTTTTAACATTTTGTTATAATTGGAGCACCCATTGATATGCCCAAATTTAAGACCTAGTTCTTTTCTGTACCCAGTGCTACAGGTTTTCTTAGTCCTGCTGTGGCTGGGACCACATATCCTCTTGCTCAACATCCCTCTCTCAGTTCCTCCTTCTGCCTCTTACCACCTTTCCTAGTCTTCTATGCCTTCTGTAGAACTACAAAAGCTAGGCTTCATCTGAGGCCCTCATCACAACTCCCTCCATTGCCTACATTCACCTGGGTTCACTCATGCCCCGGGGGTGAGACCTGTCTCTTTGGAGCTGCTGGTGCTGGGGTTACCCTGTTGCTGAGTTACTCCCCTCCTCTTAGTATAGTCTCCTTTTCTCCAGAGAACACACCTTGAGATGCAGCTTTTCAGACCACACCTGAACTCCTTTGGCTCTTCTGTTGAAGTATCTCCACTTACGTCCCTGCGTAAAGTGAGTGGCTTATGCACCATTAGCTCTTCAGGGGGGGGGGGGGCTGCAGGCTGACATTTCCTTGGCAGAACTCTCAAGAAGCCTTGGTTTTTCAGGGAGCTTCCATAGTTCCCACTCAGGCTCCCCACTTCAAGATTCTCTGTGTTCTGCCTTTTCTTTACATGTGTCCTATTTTATCTGCCCTGAGTCTGAGACCTTCATGGTGGCTCTGAGTTGAGTCCACGTCTTACTGCTGTGGCCTGCATGGAACTTGGCTTTAGTGAGCATCCAAATGCTGGTTTGGTGGAGCTTTCTGTATGTATGCACTGTACTGCACGCTGGTCTGGATGGTTCTCCTGATATGGCTGGGCTCTAAGGTTGTTAGGGAGAGTAAGAATCATTTTCCTGTCCCATGTCGTCTGGACTACCACTTGCTTCTATACAAAGCCATGATTTTCTTCACCAATATCTGATATTATTCCAGATTATATTATAGAACTATCTAGTAACTTCCTTTTGGGGGTTTCCACTTTGTCTATAGGCACTGCCCTCATTTTTTAAAAGGGACTGAGAGGCTCCGGTTAGTGGCTTTGACAGTGACCATCACAATTTCACACTCATTTGGAGGTGACCATGACCAGCAGCCTGGATTGGTTCTCAGGACACAGATGGACCCCTTGGCCCTGCCACTGGCATTTAGCTATGACAGCCAGATATTCTGATCACACATGGACCCATGGGGACAAGCCCTCTGTGGAAAAGAGCAACAAGGAAAGTAAACATATTGCAGAGTGTGCGATATGCACTATGCATAGTGTACACACCTGGCCACAATGCACTACTTCACACCACAGTTCCAAATCTATCAATTACAACCTGAGAAAAGCACCATGAGGAAGAGGCAAGAAGATGGTGAGTACCATGGAGTTCTCAGTGACATGCAACTTTGAGGGGAAGATTCAGAATGGGGTGGTGGATGAGCAGGAGTTGGACCCACAGCAAAGGCACTTGCATATTTGGGGAGAAGTGGACAGGCTGTATCCTGGCTGCTCTTCGTCACCGTGGTGACCAAACTATAGGGATTTTCCTTCGCTCAGGAGCCTTGAGGGCAGTTTGTCAACAGCAGGCAGTTTCTACACTCTGTTGTGCCAAGTGAATGGCAGCTTTAGAGGATGGTATAACCTCCACCCACCCACCCACACCTCAGAGTCATTACTAAAAAGTAAAGTGGACAGACCTGAGAAGGGTGCCTCTCTGGGGGCAGGGCCTCACCGAGTATCCCACCTCTTCCTAGGCCTGTCTGTAACTTCGACAGTCTGTAACCAGGCTGCTTAGCTTTAGTCAGGGTCTGAAACTTTATCTTTGCCATGCTAGAAAATGTGTGCCCTGACTCACATCAGGACTTTTTAACATCTTAAAATGTTACTATTAACTGACATTATGGGAAGAGGGATTCTGTGGAAGGCATTTTGGCACTATTTGTTCAAATTTTATAAACTGACCTTCCCTGCAGACTGGACCTTCCCTGACACAACACGAGGCATATACACACAGGTGCTTGAAGATGGAAGTGTCTTCAACCTTCTTTGCGATATTTGAACCTAAGAGTGGCAGGTAGTGGTACCTGGTGGGGGAGGCTAGCCCAGGAAAGGGGAGGCAGCCGGGAACCAGCAAAGTAACTGCCCTGTTATCTGCTGGTCCCAGGCATGCTGTGAACAGATGGGCCTTCTTGTGTCTATGCAAGGACCTGTTTGTATCAACAGGAGAACTAACTGCCCAGGCCTGGTGGTAGGTATACTTTGTTTATACATATTATTGTATAAGAGAAACTTCTGAGACAAAACAGGAGCCACTAACCTTGGAAGATAGTTGGGAGAATGCATCATGGGAAAGACCTTCATTTTTCTTTCTTTTTACAAAGTATTTAGGTCATTGGACTTTTCTACCCAAGCAGGACTATCATTTTTTTCTTCCTTCTATTATGTGTGGTATATTAATATATAAATTAATATGAAGGGCATGCACACCTGTGGGCACATGGAAGCCGGAGGACATTGGATGGATCTTGTTACTTTGAGGCAGGATCTCACAGGGGGTTTTGGTTAGACTGGCAGCCAACAGGCCCCAGGGTTTCCCTCAGTGCCAGCGTTATGACACATACAGGAACAGGCCTTACTTGCTGCATGGGTTTTGTGAAGTCAGGTCTTCATGTCTACACAGCAAGTGCTCTTATCCTAAAGAGTCATCTCTCTAGGCTAGGAGTTTCTTTGATAACTAAAAACACTTTAAGATGTTCAGGCTCTGTGTCACAAACTCTTGAAGCTAACATTACTCCTTTGACATGCTTATTACTTGAGGTGGTTTTCTATAGACCCAGGTATGTTTGAGCATACTTGCATGCACGAAGCATCAGGGAGCATCAGCAAGAGAACTCCTGTTTCTCCTCCCCAACTAGCAGGCATTGATACTGTGCAATGTGGGTCCCGGCACTCAGTCCTGCTGGCTTTCCTGTGAGACTGGCTACCACAGAGACCCACTGCTTTCCCAAGGAGCCCAGGGCACACAATCATACAGGCCTCTTTCAAGATGCTGAATCATGTTTCTATTCAAATTAGGCAAATAAAAATGAATGGTGTTCAGCTGAGTTTCCTGGGAGTTTTCTCATGTGTCTGATAGAGACCTGCTACAAGGCCACTGTGACAAGCACCAGCCTCTTTCCCCCAGATGGGGCTGCTTTGGAATTCCAAGACATGTTTCAGTCTACAGACATCTATGTGTATGCTCTTGTGGGTTCATGGATGATTAAAGTCTGCTTCTTACTGTAAATGAAGCCTGTTTTTTTTTTTTTTTTTTTTTTTTTTTTTTTTTTTTTTTTTTTTAAATACCAGAAAACCATGGCCCTGGTAGTAGATGAAATTGAAGTGGTTTGTGCTTTTGAGATAAATTTGCAGCTTTACACATCTTTTCCCAGATCTCCACATTTTGTTAGTTTTGTGGGTGTTTTTGGTCTTGGTTTTCTTAGCATTAATGATGAAGAAGGCAAAACCTGCTCCCCTCAGCATCTACCACTACAGCTGAAAAGTGTACCCACCAAGTGCAGAGGGACTCACCTGCGGTGTGTTAGAAAGCTGCCACTGACGTGTCCTGACCCATCACAACCAGGTGTAGGGCAGGACATGCCCTCAGTCTTGACTGACTTCCAGGAGAACTGGGAGCCGTTGAGGTACCCGTCTTTCTGCCTCTTGGCTGCCAACGGGCACCCAGAGGCGCTGCGGTGGGATGCATACTTCCCAGTGATGTGGCCCTGACCATCACAGCCAGGGACTGGACACCTGGACAATAGACAGGAGGCAAACTTCATTGTCTTTACCATCATGGGCATGGTGAACTATGTAACACAGCCACCCGATGTGATGGCAAACTAACTAACTAACTAACTAACTAACTAACTAACTAACTAACTAACTAACTAACTAACTAACACCCATGCTCTACTGGATAAGAGAAAGGGAAATAGGAAGAGTCAGATGTGGTGGCACATGCCTGTATTTCTAGAATTCGGGAAGTGGAGGCAGGAGGATCAGGACAAAGATGACAACCTAGAAAGACACCACCTAGTGGGGACATGTGGTATTTACCCTTTTAGAAATAAACACTAGGGACATACAGGCAGTTGTGATTTGGGAGGTATGGCGACTCATACAAGGAGCATTAGTGAGATGCAGGTGTCTGCAGAAAATGCCACCCTCCCTCCGTTTCAACAAGGTCTCATGTAGTCCAGGCTGGCTTGAAGAACTAGCTATGTAGCTGAGGATCACCTTGAAGATTCATCTTACAGGTCTGTGCCACCCATGCTCATTTATGCAGTGCTGAGTTTTGAGTCTCAAACATGCTAGACAGGGACTCTATCAACTAAGCTGCATCTCTATAACCCCACATTTCTTTTTGGATAGCAAAATTTATATACCACAGAATCCTTACTTTTGATTTATTTTGATACATTTTTAGTTATCTTAATAATCTATGTCTTGATTTTTGTGTGAGTTAAAACTTATGTCTTAAAGTACTGATAATGAAATTTAATGCAGACCCACCAAGTTTATCTTGTGAGGTTTGGGGCCCTGGGAGGGAGGGAAAGCAAGGAGAAACAGAAAATGAAAATGAAATGCAAGCAGGCCCACCAGTCCTTTGGCCTGTAGAGGAAGGTGCTGGGCAGCTGTCCTCCCAAGCCCACCTCAGGAAAGGCAAGGAACTACTACTGGTTTTGTCCAGCTAGCATGAAGGCAGAACATTAGCTTTAAGTTTTATGTTTAAGCCTTCATAGCCATTCATGAGCCTGAAGTCCCCAGTATATTCTGGGGAAGGGGGTGTTTCTTGGTGACACAGATTGTGTATGGACATATGAAACCCTGTGTCCAGTTAGCAGATGCACTTTGGTTTACCTTCATCTGGCCTACTGGCTTAGCGAAACCAGGCCAGATGCCTTCTGGAACCCACTGGCCCCCTTTCTCATGGGTATTCAATGGGTGTGAGCCTTGCTGGTCCCCATACCTGATCGGCTCCTGGTCCTCCTTGTCCTCTTTGCTCTGTGCTATCCGGATGCCACTCTTCTTTGCTCTTGGGCACCCAGAAAGGCTGAAAGAGAGATAGGTTTCAGAAACACTGAACACAGACTCGGGGAAAAACTTCCTCGACAGTGACCGGATTCTCTCTACAGCCTGGGATTTGGGGATCATTTAAAATCTGGGGATGGGGAGTGCATTTTGAACATAGCTCCTATGTCCTCTCAGTTCCCTCTCAAAGATGTTAAAAGCCTTGAATGGATTAGGTACTACAGACATGGTAAATTGCCAGTTTGAGAAATGGGGACAGTGAGGACGAATCAGAGAAGATGCTGGAGAAGGTTCTGTGAATATAGAAGTAAGGAGGGAGGAATGGAGGGATGGTGAGGTAACATGAAGGGAACACAGGCTCATCTTGATGTAGTCAAGAGCCATGTATCCCAAGATCTCTGTTCTGGGAGCTATTCTATCTCACCTAAGTGTAGACATCTGGTTGTATCTACAGAAGGAATGCTGAAGTCTGAATGTGTTTGTTTACTTTCTAGGTTTTGGATAGAGAGACATTGTAGATTTTCCCAAGGAATCTTCATGGCCTCTTCTGAGTATCTTTCCCTATACCTAGACATCTCATTCTGGGACATGAAGGGTGGGCTTTGGCCTGTGCATAGCTTGTGAGGCTGCCCATTTCCTTGCTGTTCCAACTCATTCCTCTGCCACCTCTAGCTCATGTCCCCTGATGGCTTTCTCCCTGGACCTTCACCTTCCTTTCAGCCTCATGTGCCCCTTGTCTGCCACTCTCTGTGAGCTTAGCCTCCACATGGAGGTTCTATCTACTAAGAAGACCTTGGCTTCCTCTTGCTCACCGTTCTCTCCTCCAAAGGGTCCTTTAAGAGGCTGGTCCTAAGGATATGGAGCCACCTTGTATTCATCTGCATCTTTAACTCTTACTGCACAGAGCAAGTAACAGTTAAGTATTTGCTGAATGCATCAGTATGAACACAATGGGGAAGGATGAACTTGGGAAGCAGGCTTCTCTCTGGACACTGTGAGGTCCAGTTTTCCTGCACATTATGTTTAGTGGCTTACAAGCCCTGGGCTTCAGGGTTTCATTTCCACAGACAGCACTTCAGCATTTGACTGGAAGTTTGGTACAACCCATGTTACTCTTCCTGACTGATGGAAGCACATAGATTTCTACCCCCCAGCTGAGTCCCAGAGTCCCCAAGGCCGCTGCCAAGGACTTTCAAGTGACTCAGTACTCTACTTTGTTGTTTTTGTTTTGTTTGATATCACACACACACACACACACACACACACACACACACACACACCCACACCACCCAGCCTGGCCTCGATTCACTATGTAGCCTATGATGACCTTGAATTTTTGATCCTCCTGCCTCCACCTTGTCAATACTGGGATCCTGAGATTTCAGGCAGCATGCACCATCCCACCTGGTTTCATGTTATTTCTGATAACTTATCTATGTATGCTAAGCAAGCACACTGCCAACTGAACTACAACCCCAGACTCAATACTATCTACTTTTGCTGTAAGCATGGACATGAAATTCATTATTCTTCATAGATTTCAGAGATTCCCATGATGACTTTACTATATATTAGCCTGGGAATGGCACCAGGCAGGCTTCTGAAGTGTTTGCCCTGTTACTGGTAGTACTTTCACCATGTTGCTGATCACAGTTCCTGTGAAACAGCTCTTAAAGGAGCCCCCCCCCCTTAGAAAGGAGAGAACAGGAGGCCAGGGATTGTATAGAGATTCCACAACATCTATAGTCCTTCCTTAAAATCCAAATCAGCACCTACAGAAGGCAGCTACTTTCTCTTTCTTGCTGAGTGACAGAGGGACAAAATTGCAGGAGTTTGACCTTTGAGAGTGCCCTAAGGTTCTATGTACCACTCCTCATATCTAACACCAGTTTTTTTGGGCCCATCTTTTCTCTCTTAAATCCTGTTTTGGTTTTTTGTTTGTTTTTTGATTTTTTTCTTTTTTCTTTCCACTGACTCCTTCAGACTTCTCCTGCCTGGTCAGAGAAAGCTTTTCTTCTTCTTCTTCTTCTTCTTCTTCTTCTTCTTCTTCTTCTTCTTCTTCTTCTTCTTCTTCTTCTTCTTCTTCTTCTTCTTCTCAAGTCTGCCTTCTTAGATGACTTATTCTAAGAACCTCAAAGGTGATGTGTTTGAACAGAAGCAGTCCCCATCCTATCTGGTAGCTGTCACACCTCAGATACTGTTATAATGTTATGGCCACTCTCTTTTGTCCAACTGGCACTTTCCTTCCTATACCCTTGAGTTTCCTCTGTACTGAATATGGTGTGTATGTATGTTCAAAAGGCACCACCATTGGCAGCTTACATTATTCTGAAAACCTCCTCTGCCTGGAGCTGCCTAAGGCTCCACCAAGGCCTTTGCATCTCTTTCTTCCTTAGATTAACTATACCTTGAGGACAGAACCTTCTTGGTTATTATTGCACTTGGCCTCTAGAATGTAGTATGTGCTCAATAAATATCTGTGGGAGTCTAGGTTTCTGGAATCTTGGGTTGACATTTGAAATCATGCTATAAACTACTACAAATTTCCTAAGCAGAAACCGTGTTTCCCACAATTCACTTACCACTGCCTCAGGGGCTTGTTGGATATTTACATTTTTGCTTGAAACTGTATATATCTGAAAATGTGACAGTCACAAGAGGTTCTGGAGGCAGGCCCCAAAATGCCACACTAATGTTCACATCTCTGAGCTGAACTTCAGCTGTTTGCCTGACTTTAAACCAGGGTTAGACAGATGACAGCCAAATTCTTAAGCAGGCCAGTTTTATCTGGCATGGCAACTACTTTCCCTGTCTGAACCCATGCCTAAGGAAAGAACCAGAAGCCTCTGGATTGATGTTGGCTTGGTAAGATGACTACTTCTCTGTCTCCTGGCTTACTAGGAATGCAATCTTGATTTCCTCTGTATACCAACAACCTCTTTCATCTACATATTAGAGCAGTTCCCACTTTGGGAAGTGTTGCATGATCCTAGAATTGAATGCAGCCAGTTTGAGTCTTCTACTGAATTTTTGTAGGCTTATTTTTTGGAGGTGGGGACTATAAACACTGTTGTAACACATGATTACTTATAGAGAGATAGGCTAGGGTGGGCCTTAGCAAGCTCAGGTGAAAAGAGAGGTTTCCCTGTAGCATGTGAACAGCTTTTGTCAGAAGTTCCAGCATGTAGTTTCCAGAGATCCCTACTGAAGGTTGCAACCTTCTGTTTCTCTTTGGGCTTCTAGATGCCAGCAAGCTGCTATCTTGTAATGTAATTTGGGTGATGTTTCTCCTACTAGCAGGGCAGGCCTCTGGGTCACTGTCTGGACTTCTCAAAGCACAATGAAACAGCAGAAGATGCCATCAAACTTTGACCTGGAGACTCGGGTCTTTCACCTCATAGGACAACAGGAAAGGGCTTGGGAGAATACTGAGCTGACAGCATGGCAAGTGCGCATCCCAGCCTCAATTCCTCATTTCAAGTCTGATAAAAATAATCTCACAGGACATTGAGGCCATATATGCAGGAAGCTCAGTGAAATATTCTGTACATAGGAAGTGATCAGATCACAATGACCTGTGTTTTGGGGAGGTGATTAGTTGCTCCTTAAGATGTTGGGGGTGCCTTAAATGGGAGGCACAGAATCCCCTGTGAGACACAGAGTAGGAGCCAGGGAGTCTTGGGTGTGTCTTGCTATTGTATGATCCTGTTGAAAGGCAAATGGGAGGGCTCAATCAGACAAAAAGGGAACACTGTTGACCTAGTAAGAGCCTTCATAAGTCACTGAAGCATTGTGTTAAAAAAAAAAAAAAAACCTGCAGATGAAGACGACTCCAAGGATAGTAGAAGAGCAGACAGAAGATCTCTGAGAAGCCAAGAAAATGGTAAAGAATTCTAAGAAAAAGTCAGCTGAAGATTGTAAACTGTGAAAGCTCTGCAGGCCCATCTTAGGGCAATGGGAGGAGGAGGTGATGGATAAAAGTTTCAGAAAACATCACATTCCAAGATATTTGTTAAGATGAATTTTGGGGGTTTCAGATATGGCATTGTGACTAGAAGCTGCACCATTCAAAACTAAACCAAGGAAGTTCCAACTGTATCCTGTCTAGCATGTCTCTAGGTGTACCCTTTCCTTGGGGGCTGCACACCACCCCGTGGTCTTCCAGTACCATTTTGGGCTGATAGGTCCATGGAGATGTGACACTTGAGCTAGGCACCTTAGATAATTCCAGCTGTAGCTCATCTCTTAGTGCCTCAGTTTCCTCAGACCCTAAAAAGAATGAGTTCCCTGTCTTCAATGAGTAGGGAGCAGCAGAAGGAGGCATATAGCATTATGGTAGTTTGAGTAAAAATGGTGGCCCCCATAAGCTCATATGTTTGAATGTGTAGTAATCATCAAGTGGCACTCATTGGAAGGGATTAGGAAGTTAGGCCTTGTTGGAGGGAGTGTGTCACTTGGGGTGGGGCTTGTGGTTACAAGGGCCTAAGATAGGCCCAGTGTCTCTTTCTTCCTGTTGCCTACAGATCCAAGTGTAGAATGCTTGGCTACTTCTCCAGTATCATGTATGCCTGTATGCCACCAAGCTCCCTCCCATGATAATAAACCAAGCCTCTGAAACTGTAAGCAAGTTCCAATTTAACACTTTCTTTTATAAGAGTTGCTGTGGCCATGGCGTCTCTTCCCAACAATAGCACACTGACTAAGATAAGTCTTCAGTTCATCTCTATTACAAAGAGAACTGTGTATTCCTCTAGGGTCTTGCATCAGAGAACAGAGGCACCCTGTAACTCCAGACAAGACAATGTGTATACCAATCTATGACCAGGAAGGGCAGACCCCTGGGTGCCAGAAACTACCCATGGGCCTTTGACCCTTGGCCTGCTTGGAATCCTTGCTCTGAGACCTCACTTCTTATTGTAGCATGAAGATACTCTGTACTTAAACTGACTTGAACTGTGGCATATGTTTGTTTGTGTGGAGAAGGGCAATGTATTCCTGTCTAGGCAAACTTTCCTCTATGGTTTATGTACTACAAGTATCTCATGGCCTGTGTTTCTGGGAAGGGATTCAGAAACATCAAAGAGAAGGAAGATTTCTAATCTTCCTGTGGCCAAAGAACCTGAAAAAGGTACTCATCTAGCTGTTGGCTTCTGTCTTTACTCAACTTACAGACCTTTGTTTATTTAGCTGTGACCTCAGTCTTTCCTAGGAAAATTTACATAAGAACTGTGAACTGAATGCAATGTTCTTGTTTAATATTCTTGAGTCTATTTCAACTTCTACATAAAGGAACTTGTTATTACATTAACACTTCAAAACACTTCACTTTCTGTTTGCTAAACTGCTACAAAGCAATATTTGCCCAAAGTTTTCTCCTTAAAATCAAATTTGCTTTGCAACTCTGTTGATAAAGCCTGAATTTATTTCAGGACAGATCATAGCTTAAATATAAGCCTATAAGCCTAACAAACACACACACACACACACACACACAAAAAAAAAACCATGCACACCCATAAATATGGACACTACTACATATGAATACAAAGACACACAACACACATACATGGACTGCATACATATATATGCACTGCACACACATACATGCCATATACCCATATACATACACAAGTACACAAGTGTACACACACACCATACATGTACACAAAGATACACAACACATATACATATACATGCAAACGCATACACACAACACATATACACATATATATCATATGCATATGCATATACATAAAGCATATACATACATACATACATACATACATACATACATACTCACACAATAATCCCACATTATTTTGAGACAAAATCTATGTAGCCTAGTCTGACATTGAACTCTTGGAGATCCTGTTGCCTGAGCTTTCAAGTACTGGGATTACAGATGTGAACCATCATGCCTTGTTCTAAATTACATTTTAGGACACATTTGTATCTTACTAATACCTAACATTCTAAATCAAAAGCCAAATGAGTAAACATGTTTATAATGCATTATAAAAGCCAAATGAGTAAACATGTTTATAATGCATTATGATAAAAGGTAGGTACACAGTGCCAACTTTTTTTTCAGTAGAAAACAAGACATTGGATGTGGAGTGACCAGGAGACTTTCATTTTCAGTTGTACAGATTTACAAAACTATGAATGTTCTAGAGGCATTTATTTTCTAAGATAAATTAATATAAAGACTAGAATAGAATGTACTTGACTTTATATATTGAATGAGTGTTTTTGAATTATCTTTAATATAAACCAAAAATCTACTCTGGGAACCCTTCTAGAAGACTCTCACTCTATCTTGCACACCTGGCGACACAAGCCAAGGGAGCAGAGCTCTTGATTGGTACCTGAGGATGGGGGTCATGGTACCATTCAGCAGCCTGTAGTTTGAGGGAAACCCCAGAGCAAGGGTCTTTCAATTCACCAGTGCCAGTGTTGCTGCAGTTAAGAAAGCCTGGTGGAGATCATATGCTTCTCTGCAGTTTGGCAGTGTGTGCATGCTCTGTTTTTACAGACAGGGTTGCCCCCGTGGAACTCCTGAGTTTTCAGATCTGACAAAGATCATCCTCTGTGACCAAAGCCTAAGAACCCCAACCTTGGATCCCTACTCTGTCCTTGCATAGTAGAGTGTGAACAAGAACCCTGCCAAGCAATCTTAGTAAAAATCCCAAGCCCTTGGTACCTGCATGGTCATCTTATCCTTTGCCTGCCCTCAGAGGTAATGCTATGGGGTCAGCCAGGAACCCTTAGTTCTGATGACCCAGAAGAGATGAACATTCTAGCAGCCCCCAAGGGGATAGCCCTGGGACTCCAAGTCTATACCTCCTTAGCCAAGTAATGTCATATCCAGCCCACACATCAGCCAGGAGTGCAGCACTCCTGCCAAAGTGGAGCTGTTGCTCTGGGGAGAGAGGGTAGTTCTGATGAGTCTACATACCTTCGATGAGAAGCATAATTGCCAGTGATGTGTCCAGAACCGTCACAGCCAGGGGTGGGACACCTACAAGTACAAATGCAAATGCAGTAATTTACTTGAAGGAAATCAACCCCCCTTGGGTAGTTGATTTTATTTATCCAAAAGGCAAACTCTTTATTGTGTACCCTTGCTACTAAAAGAGACTAAATTGGTCTGGGAGCTCCCTAGCTCACTCACGACCATTACCACATACAAATCTATCTCTGCCTCCTAATTTCCCAGCACAAGGACATGCACAAAGGACCATGGGTTTTTGTGACCACTTAGGAATCCTCAGTCTCTGAAGCACCTAGCATTTTCTGTCACTAGGCTTTTAGCCCCACAAATGGCCTTTTTGTCTCCTTACTGTTCCTTTGAACCTAATTAGCCATGGCCAATTATTGCAGGACTTAATATCACAACAATCTACACATGACAAGATACAAACATGGGAAGATATGTGCCACAGATAAGGGCATGACCTATTCTGAGCCAACCCTGAACAGGGATCCCAGCCATTCCTCACAATTCTGTTCAGACTGGGGGACCTAGAGCCCACAAAAGGTAACAGCTAGTACCTGTGCTGGGGATGGCAGGAGGGACAGATCCACAATTCTCTAGTCATGAACCTTCTGCAGGTCTGCTCTACCTTAAGCCTGTTACTTTTCCATTTTGGGGTACAATGTATGAGGTGCATCTGCATGCCCTGTCTGGGTTCTTATATTAGCCATAGGCTCTTTTGCCAAGTCTGTTTAAACCCAAAGAAACAAATTCATCTGGCACCTTAAGGCCAACTTGCATTATTGAAGGGTTTTATAATTGTTTCTCTACAAATAACTTGCTTGTAGGTGTATGTGTGTATGTATGTACCTGTGTGTGCATGCATTAGGGATGTGGGTGTGGAGGTCAGTGGACATCAGTATCATTCCTCAGGCACTGCTTACTCATCTGTCTGTCTATCATCTATCAATCAATCATCTATCTACCTTCATCATCTATCTACCTATCAACTAATCATCTATTTAGAGACAGAGTCTCTGATTGTCCTGGAACATAACAAGTAGATTAGGCTGGCTAGAAGCCCTAGGGATAGATACACCTGCCTTTACCTCCCAGTGAGAGGAATATGAGCATGGGTCATCTGTCTAGCTTTAAACTTTTTATTTTATTTTTATAGTGGGCTCTGAGGATAGCAATAAGTCCTTAATGCTTGCAAGGCAAGCACTTTTAACATGGAGCTATCTACCAGTCTTCCATATAATTTCTTAAATATGCCATCCTAAGAACAAGCAGACAATAATGCAAAAACATGCTTCTCAAAGCAACTTCATTGCCTCTGTACCACTATATACCTCTGTACCCTTTCCATTAAATAACACAGACTCAGGAATGCACTGAACAAAGTTACCCTCTGTTAATGAAAAGAAGACCATGCTCTGTCTGCTCATCCTTACCCCAGAGAAAGCCTGAAGCCAGGTCAAGAACAAAGCCACACATGTGAACAGTCAGCAGATAGTTCTGTTCCCAAAGGTCTTGGTTTCCCTTTGCTTAGGAAATGGTTCTGCTTAGCCATGCTGAGGGTGGGCCAGCATATTGGCCAAGTACAGAAGTGAGACTGGCAGGCTACCTGTGCACAAAATGAGGCTAGTCCACAGCCTGGTACAGTGAGACTGGCACACTAGTCTCCCACAGCTGTCCCTTCTCCAGACTGGATGACAGTGACAAGGAGCAGGTGGGCACACAGGCACTGGACAAGTTTCAAATGTGTGGATGGCAGATTGCCATGCTTGGATGCATAAACAATTTTCAGGATTTAGAAATTTTCTAATTTCCCTCTAGTCCTATGAAAGGGGATGTGGATCTAGATCTCAGGGTACAGAAGTCAGTATCTTCCATACCATATGTAAGGAAAGAGTTTAATTTATGGCCTGTGTTAGGGGAGTAGCAAAGCCAACTGAGTGGCAGGGCAGTGGAGAGTCTGTAGAGTGCTCTGGTCCACACAGGAGGAGGATCTTTGAAATAGATATTGGTTACAGAATGGGGCTGAGCTTATTTTAATGAATTCTGCTTGTCAATAGCAACCCCAGCCCTGATTGGAGACTTGGGTTTGAACAGAATAACTGTGTTGGTTTTCACTTCCTGTGTGATCCTAAGCCCTGAAACTCAGTGCACTTGTTGCATTGGTTTTCCCAATGCTGAGGAACTCACCTGAGAGAAAATCTTGGAAGCAGTGAACTCATCCTGAGAGATACTGAACATCATAACAGTTCTGTTTGGAGGTGTATGAAGAGACTCTGTGTTTCCTACCCACAAAGTTGGCCTTATTTTCTACTGAGGGGGGATTTTAAAGCTCTTCCTAATTAAAAACCTAGTGAAAGTTAATTTAGAGTTTACTCATCTAGTATGAGTAAACATTCTTCATTTGTCTTTTTGTAGGAGTAGAAGTTGCCATATTCTACTCAAAATGGAAGTGAGGTATTATAACCAAGGAAAAGCAATGATAATCGGATCATACCACCTCCATCCACAAAAACCTTTGCAGCAACTTCTATGGGTCAGGTTGTCCTTTATAGAATTATAATTCATTACCTGGTGAGAAAGAGGTTCAAAATGTACTCTTTTTTTAACCATTATTACTATAGAAAAACTCCACAAACACAAAAGTGAAAAAAAATCTCTCACTTCCAGGGCTTTCATTGTTTTGCAGAGAAAACAACTATGAGCATCAGGTTTTCTTTCTGGAACCTGGTCAGGTGAGGCCACCTGTTAGCCATGAGGCGATCAGGCTGCTGTGTTATCCTTGAAGATAAGATCCTAGTACCTTTGTGTATGTAAGACATCCTTATCTACAGCCACAAGGTAGATGTGGGGCTAGACAGCCTCTCTGTGTGAAGAGCAAAGGAGGAGGGCTCTGCTCCTCTCTCCCTACACCATTTGAGCTCAGGACTGCTGAAGTGCCATTCTCCACCTGTAGGTGGCACATTTGGGCTGAGAAAGGCAGTTCAGGCGGCTTCACCTGGCTCTCCCCTGAAGTGGCTCCAGGCATTCATTCCTGTCTGACTGTCAAGACTTTAAGGCTTTCTTAAACTCATAGATTTACATACAAATTTTCCAGCCTTAAGAAATCTCAATATTCAAAACCACGGTTTTCTGCAGCCTTGAGTGATGGAATGATGATTCCTCCAAAAAAGGAACCTGCTCCCAGGCCTGTCTGCTCTAGGGCCTTGGTGGTGGGAGGTATGTGGAATCCACTTTCCCCTGTCACGCTGGCAACAGTCCCTCTAGGAGCACATCTTCCCAGGAAGGGAGAGCCCACGTGGGACAATCAGAAGCAGCCTGTGTGCACAGCTTGGGTTTTGAAACCACAGAAGAGATGGGCTGGGTTTCCATGGAAACGGCCCTCAGCTCCCTTGGGGGAGGCAATGGCTTGGCTGTCAGCACTGAAGTGCTTCTGGCAGGCCAAAGGAGGTTTTCAAAGGATGCTGGTCGATGGCCCTTCTTGCTTTCCTAATAGCTGCCATGGACAGTAGCACTGGGGATAGTTTAGGCTTTTATGGTTAAGGGTGTGAAGTTTGCTAAACAAAATGCTTGGCTTTATCAGTATATTCTTTATTTTCTATTATAATGAGACTAAGGATAAAAGCACTCAGAGAAAGGAAATGATGAATAAGGAATCTCATTCTATACTCGATGCTTCTTAGACTATGAGACAAAAACATCCTGATCTTCTTGTTGTATACTTGGTTTTGTGTTTAGATATAAGGAGAAAAAAATTTGGGTGGTACATATTGCTCTCTGGCTGAGAACACTGGTCTTATACAGACAATGAAGAACACTGACATAAAAATTATCAAAGAAGTCTTAAATAGTACTTAATTGGACAAGCATGCAGATTCAGGCAAAATACTTAAAATAGGAATCCAGAGGCTCTCATAGATCGTTCATTCTGATCCAGGACATGGCTCTTGTAGGGGAAGCTGTCTGCTGCTTACTAGAAGCTGAAACCCTGCGGCCCCCCCCCCCCACCTCCTGCTTTTCTATCTCTTTGCCACCAAGTAAACACAGGCTGGCCTCGAACAGCCACTGGCCACACCCACCCAGAGAATATCAGATACATCCTCTAACATAAGAGAACTGGATAGCAGTGTACTGAAATATATCATCTTGGAGTCAGAGAACTTTGCATTAGCACTTGCCAAAAAAAGATGGGGCAATAGCCAGCACATCTCAATTCTGACTCCAATCTGTCCTCAAGGGACTAGAGCCCTATTACACAGCCCAATGTGGTGCCCTCTTTAGAGAACCACAACCTGGAGAGACAGGGGAAACAGTTACATCCACAGACTGCAGATGTCTTCCTAGTTAATTATTCATATGTGTCTTGAAAATGGTTCCTCCATATTGTCCCTACATTCTTTTAAAAGATATATTATGAGGGTTAAATCAACACTTAGAATTATGTTAAGGAATGTAAAGTATGATTTCATAGGAGACAAGCCATCTGGTAAGGTGAACATGACACTATAATAGGTGTGTCCTCTGGTGAATATGTGACATTATGGCAAGGTGTGGCCCCTGTTTAAATGAGGATGTGACATCATGGTAGGTACCCAGTCTGTTTTGTTTGAGTATGACTTCATGATAGGTGTGCCTTCTGGTTAAGTATGTGAAGTTATGATAATCATCCTTCTGGTTAATGAAATATGTGACATTGTGACAGATATACACTCTGGTTAAGTGAGCATGCGCAGTGCAACACATTTTCTCATCACTGTAGGCTAAAGGGGACCCCATCTCATGCCAAGGCCATGCGATACAGGCTAGCAACTCTCCAGCTCATATGTCCTCCCACATCTCTTCTGCAGGGGTCACATATGCCCACATGTTCTGGTTGGGCATAACATGTGCTAACACCAGGGTCAGCGCCCTCCATGTTCCTGGAAGGGGTGACAGTTTCAGTAGGATTGCAAGATACCCCCAAGTGCAGGGTCCCAGAATGATATGGACAATGTGTGACTGGTACAACTTTGTTGGGTGAGACAGAG